AGTTGTATGAGCCCCTAATAAAATGTTTTAAAAAAAATCTAAGATTTGATTTCTAATCAGTAAAATTATGAAATTGAAAAAAAAAAAGAATAATGGCAAGGTTGGCATAAGACTGGGCAGTGTTTTGTTCTGTTGTATAGAGGGTCGCTATGAGTTGGAACTGATTCAATGGCACGTGACAACAACAACAACAACAACAGCAGCAGCAGCAGTTAAGCTAAACCATTGTTTGGTTTTGAAGAAGACTTCCAGGGGTTTAAAGATTGTTTCAGGGAAGTGGTTTCAGGGACTCATGAGCCTTCATGGCTCTAGAAAACTGGAGACCACAGGTATTCGAATCTCTGTTCTGCAGTTTCCCTCCCTTTGATCTAGATTATTCTAGACAATCTTTGACCACAAATACTTAGTATGGTAGCTGGACACCATCTAGATCTTCTGGTCTGTGGTAGTTACATCATCTGGTGCCAACTTGAGACTATTAAGAGTGGAGGGGTAGAGTCTAGCCTGTCAATCAGGTCACTGCTTGATGACCTCATCTGGAGGCGCTAAGGAGATAAATAGCTAACCGGAGGTGGAATACACACACTCTCCCAGTGAGACATTCCTGTTGACAAACCAGATGAAGCTACACTGATGGAGCCAGAGCCTTGTAGATGGAGGAGCCACGTACAGAACCATGCTAGTGCTAAGATGCTTCAATTGCCACTGGATCCAAAAGACTTTCCACCCACTGGCCTGTGAGCTCCCTGCGCTCTGTGTCATTGTATGTGTTGCGTGAGTCTGAAGAGGAACTTATAGACTGGTATCAGACACATGGCCTAATATCCGACTTATGGCTTCATTTGGACTGGGCTGCGATGTTTTTTCAATATACAATTGCTCTTTTATATAAAGCTCTTTTTCATACACACGAGTATCTATGAATTTGTTTCTCTAGTCCACCCAGACTAACACATGGTCTAATGGCAAAAACAAAACACTCAAACTGAGAGCCATTGAGTCAATTCTGACTCACAGAGACCTTATATCTGGGAGGAGAACTGCCCTGTTGGGTTTCTGGGGCTTTACAGGAGTGGGAAGTCTGGTCTTTTGCCTGTGGTGTGGTTGGTGGGTTTGAACTGTTGACCTTGTAGTTAGCAGCTCATCTCATAATCCACCATGCTACCAGGGCTCCTTTTATTCTCATGGCCAAGGAGGTAGGTCTTCGTGGAGCCAATAGCCCACATTGAATGTACGTTTTAACACGTATTGACTAAGTAGACACATAGAGTGGGTCTGCATGACCCACCATCATCAGTGGCAGTTCAGTGGTGGAATGACCACCTTCCATGTGGGAGACCTGAGGAGTCCTGGTGGCGTAGTGACTACTCGTTGGGCTGCTAATTGGATAGGCAAACGCTAGTAACAACATGTATCAGCAGAAAACATTTTTCTTTTTCTTTGACTCACTGGCTACACAGTCACAGGAGCATGGAGGCCTCTGTTGGAAGGACACCAGCCCTAGAGTAGGTTGGACAGAAATAAGCGTAGCCCTCCTCCCCCAAGTCTACTGTCTAACGAGGGAGCCAGGTAACATCCAGGGGCTTAGGAAATGTAATAAACGAGAGCATGCTGAGAACTTGTTCTGTTTGTTTATTCGGCTGTCCAGAGAGGACACTTGTTGACAGGGTTCACCCACTTTCTCGCGTGTGAGAATTGTTGCTTCTTTATAAGAAAGAGAATGTTTATCACAGTTTCAGGGGGTCAGCTGCAGGCATTCTTTCTCTTCCAGTTCTGGGGGATGGTCCTCATCATAAATCTCCCCCGAGTCTAGGAGTTTCTCAGCGCAGGGACCCCGGGAGGTGCCACTCCTTGCTTTTCATTCTTCGTGGCTTTGAGGTGCCTCTCCCTCTGTTGGCTTCTCTTTCCTTTATCTTGTGAGGTGGCCCCCTTCTCCGGAAACCTCTCCCTCCCTTACGTAAGATCAAGACTGAGTGCTGCATCCCACCCTCATCCCCTTACAACTGACTGGCTGGTCACATGAGATCACATCATTCTACAACTGCCAAGCCACCGAGAATCATAGCCCGGCCAAGTTGATCTGGAATTTTTGGGGGGTGGGGGAGAGAGAGGGGGCCCAATTCAATTCATAGCACACAGTATCACCAGAACACACAAGGCAGCTCCCCCCAACTCCCCAGGCCATGTTGCTCCTAAGACCATGAGTGGACCCTAAATGGCTATTAGGAGCTTTGCGCTGTGCTCCCGGGAGACCTGCTGATGGACAGGTGCTGTACACCTCCAGGCCAGGCTTGGCTGGTTCCATTCATGACACGTGTGTGGTAACGGCCTGTGGAGGCTCAGGGGTAGCTGTCCAGAGGGCCGGTGAACCCACTTCAGGCCCTGCCACCACTTGTCTGAAATGGCGAGGGTATGGCTATGATGCCGAACTGGTGCCCAGCAGATTTTGCTTCCAGACCAAGGCAGAAAGACCTGGCGGTGGTCCCCCAGGGAGAACCAACCCTGTGGGCCACAGTGACCTGCTCTGCAAGGGACCGTGGGGCTCACAGCACCGGGCCGTGCAGGGAGTCGCCCTGGGCTGGGGACCGACCCTGTGGCAGCGAGTCACTGTGTTTACAGATTGGCTTTATCCTAATGTCCAGTGGCCCTTACCTGTCATGTCACAGCTTTCTTTCTCCATCCCCAAGGGTGTAGATTTATTCATGGGGCAGAAGATGTGGGGGGTGAAAAAAATGATATGGGGTGGGTGGTGGTGGTGGGAGACTCTCTGTACTCCGTTTGTCTTGGAATTCAGAACTAGATCGTCCAAGGGTTGGGTTTTCCCCTTGAAACCCTCCCGCCGTCCACATTCAGCAGTCCAGAGCCAGCAAAGATGGCAGCCACTTTTGGAGCAGGCGTGGCTGGGCGCTGCCAACCCCACCATCCTTAGTGGCAGCGTCACCAAGCTTCCCCACTGGTGCTCCAGGTTCCCTCCCTGTGGGGCTTGGTACGGAGTTACTCCCGGAGGCAGCTTATCAACGGGCACAGAAAAAGCAGAAATGAATTCCCCAAGGAGGGTCTGGGATTTGGGTGGGGACCCCTCTGGCCAAGGATGCAGGACCACCTGGGTCCCACCCAGCAACTTCCAGCTTCTGCAGGTCCAGCCCATCTCACCAGGGGGCCGGAGCAGAGCCTTAGTGCTGCTGTGTTCTGGGGAAAGGAATTCCCTTTCTGTCCCTGTCGGGTTAGTTACAGGCTGACTGCGCCCAGTGAGTGAGCCGTGAGCCTGTGTCTGCGAGGCTGGGCCTGGGTGTGGACTTCAGGGAGGGGGTGACCCTCATGTCCAGCCACTTGCCTGCTGCCTTGGGTGGTCCCCACTACTTCCTGGGAAAGCTTATCTCCCTGTCAGTGGGGTTCACCTCTCCTAACATTGCTACCAACCTGCGGGAGGGTCTGCATCCCCGTGTGGTCCTGGGGTAAGTTCCATGGGGTTCTTTCTTCTCTGCCTCATCATAGCCTGATGGGATGATCTCCGTGTGTGTGTGTGTGTGTGTGTGTGTGTGTGTGTACGCGCGCCGGCGCACGCACAGGGAAGGGAATTGATGAGGGCTGGGTGGTGGGGAGGAAAGGTGGAAGAGAGCTAACATTGACTGACCGCCTACTATGTGCGGGTTTCTGATGGGCGCTTCACCCCAACAGTACTGGCTCCTTGTGGAGCTTGTTCTGAGCCCCTGGGGATGTTTCCCCATCCCACTTTGACTCATTTAGTCCCATGCATGCAGAGCAATAATGCCACGACTGTATATAGCACCGTACGTACGCTTTCCCAAGAACGTATATGCCAGTGACCTTTGATCCTCTCAACAGCCTCCTGTTACAGAGGAGGAAATTGAGGCGGGGCCAAGATGACTGATCGGCTTCAGTTGTGCAACTAGTTCTGGGTGAGCTGGGAGCACCTGCTGTCTGCACCCTTTGGGATGCGGGGCTGATCCTGCCTGAGCAGTCTGCTGACAGCAGGAGCCCAGTTATTCCCAGGGGAGCTGAGAGCATCCTGCCCACAGTGCTCAGGGCTGGGCATACAGCAAGCGCTCACTAAGTGCTGATTGGGTTTCTCTTTCCCCCACACCCCTTGTGCAGCCACCAGAGAGGGGCTCCAGAAGCCCGGGCTCCCACGTGCTTCCCAGGGACCCTTCGGTTCCAATGAGAAGGCGGCCCTCCGATTCCGCCTGGGCTCATCGGAAATGCTGGTCTCCAGATTCCTAGGGTTGGAGAGACCTCCCACAAGAGGTGACCAGCTCTGGGGTGTGCACTCCGCTATAGGGCTGGAGCTGGGGGCAGGTGTCTTGGAGACACCAGCTGCCGTGTTGAGGCGGGCGGGTCACCAGCGGAGGAGGCTCAGCCGTTTGCCCCCACCCCAGCCCCCGAGCCCACCCCTCCACTCCTGGAAGGAGTTCTGGCGGTGACAGCAGAGAACCGCAAGGAGGCAGCTATGCCTGTGTAGTCCTCGCCGGACGCGTGGTCTGAGCAGCCCCACAGCGTTGCCACGGCCACTCGGCATCACCAGCATCACTTTCCCAGGTGTCACGGGCCATGGCGGGATTGCCTCCCAGCCTCCTGGGGGCAACTCCACCGCCCATCCACCACAGAGAATTTCTTGGCAGCCTGGGGGGTGGGGCGGGGGCG